AAGAATTCAGCACGATTCCTAGATTTTCATATTTTATAGTCCATGCCATCTGCATGAATTCGGCCGACCGGCTCTGAAGCACCTAAAATTTTGGTGGGACCATAAAATGGCTTAATGAACAATAGTCATTGATTCGTCACGATCGTTCCTCGTTTTTCCGTATTTTAAGTCCATAAAATAGGAATGCAACACGATTCCCAGATTATCATGTGCTATATTCACGCCATCTGTATAAATTCGGGTGACCGGCTTCGAATCGCCTAAAATTTTACGGGACCGTAAAAAATGACCTAATGAACAATAGTCATCGCCTCGCCGTAACTGTTCCTCATTTTATTTTTGCATTTAGGGCTACAAAAGAGGAATTCAACACGATTCTCAATTTTTAGGGTGCTACAGTCCACGCCATCTAAATGAATTTAGACGACCGACTTCAAATAGCCTAAAATTTTTCGCGACCATAAAAATGATCTAATGAATAGTCATCGTTTCGCCATGACTATTCCTCATTTTTTGATATTTTAGGTCCATAAAACATGAATTCAGTACCATCCCCAGATTTTCTTGGTCTAACTCCACGCCATCTGCATGAATTCGGGTGACCAGCTCCGAATCGCCTAAAATTTTACGAAACCATAAAAATGACCTAATGAATAATAGTCATCGCTTCACCATGACCGTTCCTCATTTTTGGCATTTTAGGGCCATAAAACAGGAATTCAGCATGATTCTCATATTTTCGTGCATTGTAGTGCAAGCCATCTGCATGAATTCGGGTGACCAGCTCTAAATCGCCTAAAATTTTGCGGGACCATTAAAAATAACGTAATGAACAATATTCATTGTTTAGCCATGACCGCTCCTCATTTTTTAGCATTTAAGGCCATAAAATAGGAATTTAACACGGTTTTCAGATATTCATATGCTATAGTCTAAGACATCTGCATGAATTTAGACGACCGACTCCAAATAGCCTAAAATTTTGCGGGGCCATAAAAAATGACCTAATAAACAATAGTCATCGCTTCGCATGATTGTTCCTCATTTGTGGTATTTTAGGGCCATAAATCAGGAATTCAACACGATTCCCAAATTTTCATGTGCTATAGTATATGCTATCTACATGAATTCGAGCAACCGGCTCCAAATCGCCTAAAATATTGCGGGACCATAAAAGAAAACCTAATGAAAATCACTTCACCATGACCGTTCCTCATTTATTGGCATTTTAACGCCATGAATTAAGAATTCAGCACGATTCCCAGATTTTTGTGTGCTATAGTTCATACCATTTGTATGAATTCGGGCGATCGACTTCGAATCATCTAAAACTTTGCGGGACCAGAAAAAGACCTAATGAATAATTGTCATTGCTTCGCCTTGACCGTTCCTCATTTTTTGGTATTTTAGGGCTATAAATCAGGAATTCAGCATGATTCCCTCATTTTCGTGTGCTATATTCCACGACATCTGCATGAATTCGGGTAACCAGGTCAGAATCACCTAAAATTTTACGGGACCATCAAAACGACCTAATGAACAATCGTTTTCATTTCGCCAATATCGCTCCTCGTTTTTTGGCATTTTAGGCTATAAAAGAGGAATTTAGCACGATTCTCAGATTTTCGTGTATTATAGTCCACGCCATCTGCATAGATTCGAGCGACCATCTCCTAATCGCCTAAAATTTTGTGGGGCCATCAAAACGACTTAATAAACAATAATCATCGCTTCCCCATGACCGTTCCTCTTTTTTGCATTTTAGGGCTATAAAACAGGAATTTCGAACGATTCTCAAATTTTTATGTGCTATAGTCCACGACATCTGCATGAATTCGGGCGACCGACTCTGAATCGCCTAAAATTTTGCGGAACCATAAAAAATGACCTAATGAACAATCGTCATCGCTTTACCATGATCGTTCCTTTTTTTTTTTTTGGCATTTCAGGGCCATAAAACAGGAATTGAGCATGATTCCCAGATTTTCGCGTGTTATAGTCCACGTCATCAACATGAAATCGGGCGACCGACTCCGAATCGCCTAAAATTTTGATGGACTATCAAAAATGACTTAATGAACAATAGTCATCGCTTCTCCATGACCGTTCCTTATTTTTTGGCATTTCAGGGCCATAAAATACGAATTCAGCATGATTCCCAAATTTCTGTGTGCTATATTCCACGCCATCTGTATGAATTCGGTCGAACGGCTCTGAATCGCCTAAAATTTTGCGGGACCATACAAAATGACCTAATGAACAATAGTCACCGCTTCGCCATGATCGTTACTCGTTTTTTGGTATTTTAGGGTCGTAAAACAGGAATTTAGCACGATTCCCATGTGTTCGTGTGGTATAGTTGACGGATTTGAAACCATGAGGTTTAGTACCCTACCAAATATTGTCACATAAACTAAGATGAAATATACATTGTTCTGATATTCGTTTCATCATCATCAATCATCGTCTTTTTATATTCTTCTTTGTTACCAGAAGAAATTTCCAGAAATAACTCTCACTTTATAAGCTCTCACTCAAGATATATCCCAACAAAATTAGCAGAATAGGAAAAGTGGACCTTGCGACCGATCACTATGCAAATTGCAAGCCATCTGCATGAATTCGGCAGACCGGCTCTGAAGCACCTAAAATTTTGGTGGGACCATAAAATGGCTTAATGAACAATAGTCATTGCTTCGTCACGATCGTTCCTTGTTTTTTTGTATTTTAAGGCCATAAAATAGGAATGCAGCACGATTCCCAGATTATCATGTGCTATATTCACGACATCTGCATAAATTCGGGTGACCGACTTCGAATCGCCTAAAATTTTACGGGACCATAAAAAATAACCTAATAAACAATAATCATCGCTTTGCCGTAACTATTCCTCATTTTATTTTTGCATTTAGGGCCACAAAAGAGGAATTCAACACGATTCTCAATTTTTCGGGTGCTACAGTCCACGCCATCTACATGAATTCAGACGACCAACTTCAAATAGCCTAAAAATTTTCGCGGCCATAAAAATGATCTAATGAATAGTCATCGTTTCGCCTTGACTATTCCTTATTTTTTGACATTTTAGGGCCATAAAATATGATTCAGTACCATCCCTAGATTTTCGTGGTCTAAGTCCATGCCATCTGCATGAATTCGGGTGACCAGCTCCGAATCGCCTAAAATTTTGCGAGACCATAAAAACGACCTAATGAATAATAGTCATCGCTTCACCATGACCGTTCCTCATTTTTGACATTTTAGGGCCATAAAACAGGAATTCAGCATGATTCTCATATTTTCGTGCGTTGTAGTCCAAGCCATGTGCATGAATTCGGTGACCAACTCCAAATCGCCTAAAATTTTGCGGGATTATTAAAAATAACGTAATGAACAATATTCATTGTTTCGCCATGATCGCTCCTCAGTTTTTAGCGTTTAGAGCCATAAAATAGGAATTTAATACGATTTTCGGATATTCATATGCTATAGTCCAAGACATCTGCATGAATGCAGACGACCGATTCCGAATAGCCTAAAATTTTGCGGGGCCATAAAAAATGACCTAATAAACAATATTCATCGCTTCGCAATGATTGTTCCTCTTTTTTTGGCATTTTAGAGCCATAAATCACGAATTCAACACGATTTCCAAATTTTCGTGTGCTATAGTCTATGCTATCTGCATGAATTCGAGCGACCGGCTCCGAATCGCCTAAAATATTGCGGGACCATAAAAGAAAACCTAATGAAAATTGCTTCGCCATGACCGTTCCTCATTTTTTGACATTTTAACGCCATGAATTAAGAATTCAGCACGATTCCCAGATTTTTGTGTGTTATAGTTTACACCATTTGTATGAATTCGGGCGATCGGTTTCGAATCACCTAAAACTTTGCGGGACCAGAAAAAGACCTAATGAATAATTGTCATTGCTTCGCCTTGACCGTTCCTCATTTTTTAGTATTTTAGGGCTATAAATCATGAATTCAGCATGATTCCCTCATTTTCGTGTGCTATATTCCACGACATCTGCATGAATTCGGGAAACCGGGTCAGAATCGCCTAAAATTTTACGGGACCATCAAAACGACCAAATGAACAATCGTTTTTATTTCGCCAATACCGCTCCTCGTTTTTTGGCATTTTAGGGCTATAAAAGAGGAATTTAGCACGATTCTCAGATTTTCGTGTACTATGGTCCACGCCATCTGCATAGATTCGAGCGACCGTCTCCTAATCGCCTAAAATTTTGCGGGGCCATCAAAACGAATTAATAAACAATAATCATCGCTTCCCCATGACCGTTCCTCTTTTTTGCATTTTAGGGCCATAAAATAGGAATTCCGCACGATTCTCAAATTTTCATGTGCTATAGTCCACGACATCTGCATAAATTCGGGCGACCGACTCTAAATCGCCTAAAATTTTGCGGAACCATAAAAAATGACCTAATGAACAATCGTCATAGCTTCACCATGATCGTTCCTTATTTTTTTGGCATTTCAGGGTCATAAAACAGGAATTGAGCACGATTCCCAGATTTCCGTATGTTATAGTCCACGCCATCAACATGAATTCGGGCGACCGACTCCGAATCGCCTAAAATTTTGATGGACTATCAAAAACGACCTAATGAACAATAGTCATCTTCTCCATGACTGTTCCTTGGTTTCTGGCATTTCAGGGCCATAAAACACGAATTCAGCATGATTCCCAAATTTTCGTGTGCTATCTTCCATGCCATCTGCATGAATTCGGTCGACCGGCTCTGAATCGCCTAAAATTTTGCAGGACCATACAAAATGACCTAATGAACAATAGTCACCGCTTCGCCATGATCGTTCCTCGTTTTTTGGTATTTTAGGGTCGTAAAACAGGAATTTAGCACGATTCCCATGTGTTCGTGTGCTATAGTCCACGGATTTGAAACCATGAGGTTTAGTACCCTACCAAATATTGTCACATAAACTAAGATGAAAGATACATTGTTCTGATATTCGTTTCATCATCATCAATCATCGTCTTTTTATATTCTTCTTTGTTACCAGAAGAAATTTCCAGAAATAACTCTCACTTTATAAGCTCTCGCTCAAGATATATCCCAACAAAATTAGCATAATAGGAAAAGTGGACCTTGCTCAGCTAGACCGATCACTATGCAAATTGCAAGCCGAATCTGATTCACAATCCATTCAAAAATCACATTGAAGTGCTAAATAAAAAAACCTAGCTACTAAATTATCTAGAAGAAGGGTGAACATAAGTTGAATCCGGTGAAGTAGCCCGAAAACCACTTCCACTACTCTGACTAGTAGTCTGGGAACCCTGAAAAAACATTCTTGGAAGAAAAGGCAGTTGAGAAGAAGAAGAAGAAGACGATGAAGAAGAAGATGACAAGTACTGTAATTGGTTTAATAAACTTGAAGGTGGTTGCAACCTTTGAAAATCATCATTCAAGAAATTTTGAGGGCTTATGTTAGTATTATTATAATTAGGTTGAGTGTGAATTATTGGATAATTATTAGTGAAAGAAGAAACAGTAGTACTGTAAAGGGTATTTGGAGTATAATCATGAGAAATAGTACTATTAGAAACACGTGTATTTTCCACGGAATCCAACGTACTCGTAGAAAATCCCAGATTACCGACAGTATTCTGATGCGAGTATAACTTCAATGGTGATCGTTCGTGAGTTGAAGAAGTAGGCAAGAGTTTAACATTTTCTGGGAAGTTGAGTTTGGCTTTGCTGCCTCTGAATTTAAGAGCAGCTTCATCATAAGCTATAGCAGCATCTTCAGCAGTGTCAAAAGTGCCAAGCCAAACCCTAGCAGCTTTATATGGATCTCTGATTTCTGCTGCCCATTTTCCCCACGGCCTTTGTCTAACTCCTCTATATCTTCTTCTTGGTTGATGATTAGTATTTCCTTCTCCATATGTGGGAGTAATGTATAGGAATGTTGATTCTGTTGTTGGTGTGTTGTTGGCAATAGTCCTAATATTTGAACTTTCTCCACCTATTAACATAATACATTCCAGGGAAAAAAGATTAGGAGAAGGAAGTTATTCGTCATGAAATTAAAGACCAAGCGTACAATCTCTCGGAATTCATGCAAACATAATAATGAATTAAAACACAATAAAAATAATATATTGACACAAACGATACCAACTAGTTGGGATAAAGCTTAGTTGTAATATTATATTGGTGTAAGAAAATATGAAGAACTTTTAGATGAGGCTCCGAATAAAGCAATTCAAAATGAAACGACATAATCGATATCAAGAATTTAGACAGCAAACTCCAACTAATTTGGAATTGCGCGTCTAGGTTGTTATCGGGGTAGTAAAATAAGTTGAAGTTTGCTATATACAATGATTATATACTCAGTGTAATCTCATACAGTGGGATCTAGGAAGAATAGCGTGTACACAGACGTTACTCTTATTTTGTACAGGTAGCTAGAGAGTCTGTTTCCAATATACTGTCGGCTTAAGGAAAAGAACCAATTATATAAAGAGGAATGAGCTGAGCAATTTACTTCTGATAGATTTGCATACCTGATGACCTAATATCAGACAAGAACAGTTGCCCACTTTGTTCTTCACGTCCTCTTTTCTCTCCAACAACTCCAGAAATTGCATTCAAAGAAGGAGAAAAACCAGAATTAGCTGCACCAATATTATCACATCCTTCACCTTGATTCAGTACTTTATCTTCACCTCTCACGACACGTGTCAGTGCAGAAACCATAACTGACATCTCCTCTTCTCTATTAATCCCAGAAAACATCACATTGATATTCCGAGCTTCATCATCTTTTATTGGCTTATAATTGGCTTTGTTTCTAAAATTCGCCACCTTGAGTATACACATGTAATAACTTCACCAAAAAAAGTTAATCTTAACAATTAATATGAGAAGTTTGAATTAAACTTCAAGATTCAAAAAGAGGAAAAAGATATTAAAACCCGTTGCTTTTCAAGAAAGTTGACAAGATGAACAAACTAATACCAACCAGCTAACTCCCTCTTTTTTAGGCTTTCTTGAACCAACCGTTATATATATAGAAAGAGAGAGAATTAGACTAACCCAAGTTGGGAGTTGAAAATCTTAAAACAAAAAAACAAAAAAGTAAAGTCAAACTTTTTTTGTAAAATAATAAAGACAAGAATATAGAGTCGGCCAGTCAGCTCATGAGCTTCCTTAATTTGTATTCTTCTCTTCAAGTTGAGCTCTACTCCTATTGTACGTAAGAAGGAGAGATTAATCGTATTGATGAAAACATTCTTTTTTATTTGTTGACTTGTCATTATTTCTTTTGGACAAAATGTGAAAAGAATAAGGACAGTGGTATTATAGTAAGTGTGAAGGGAGATCTGTTATATGTGGATAAGAATATTTGAGAGAGAAAAAATTAGAGCTGCTTTAGGAGTTGTTTGTCAGTCGGCGGTGAGTTTTCCTAGCTAGTAGCTAGAGGCCGACATAGAAGACGCGGAATGGGATAATTATATGTTACCTTTTCATAAAATAAAATAAAAGATATCGATTCAAAAAATAATGCAAATTATAACAACGTTTTAAAAAATATATTGCATTGTTAGTGCATATAGACTTCAATTTTACGAGACAGTATTTAACTAAGCGCAGAGATTTAAATGTCAATATTACTAATATATAGTAGGGTTAATTATACTAAACACCCCTATAATATGATTCAGTTTCGAATACACCCCTTTGTATTTTAAAATCAAACACTGACACCCCCTATATTTTAAAAATTCTACACGTACACCCCCTTTGAGGTATATCCGTAATTAAATATTTTTTCGGAACCAAATTTCATGTTCTGTTATAATACATATTTTCTATAACAGCAATTCACTATATATAACATCCAAAAATATGTGTAACAAACGAGATTGTTATAGAGAGATTTGATTGTACTACTCCCTCTATGTGTTAGATATTGTTAGGGGGTATCAAATGGGTGGGTTGGACAAATTTTGGGCAAGTTAAATGGGTTGAGTCTATAATTGTGCGGTCAAATGATCCTTCCAAAAGTTACTTGGCTCAAGATGGGCTAAATTTTGGGTCATAACTCAACCCGTCTAACTCGTATCAAGCTTTGCTTAATCTGTATTATTTTTTTATGAACTATATAATTACTAAATAAGACTTCTTTTTTTTTGTTATGATCATATATAACATATCAAACAAAAAATTTATTTCTAAGATATTTTGGTAAAGTTACTCATAGATCAATTTGGGCTAAATATCAGCGCAACTTTAAATAGGTTGAAATATATTGGGTCAAGATGCGCTAAGTTCAATAAATGGGCGGGTCAATAACCAGCCCAACCTTGGACAAGTTGGGCGGGTCATTTGAGCTTGTGCCAAATTTGTAGCCTTAGATATTGTTAATGAATTTATGCACGCTCTTATCATCTAAATGGTTATTATATGTAACATTTCATAAATAAATAAAAAGATATCAATTCAAAAAATAATGCAAATTACCCATTATAACAAGGTTAAAAAAATATTACATTGTTAGTGCGTATATACTTTAATTTTACGAGACGATATTAACTAAGGTCTATCAAAAACAATCTCTCTATCTTTTAGATAAGGTAAGGTATGTGTACACATTACCCTCCTTAGACCCCACTTGTGAAATTTTACTGTTGTTGTTGTTGTTGTTTGGTATTAACTAAGCACAAAGATTTAAATGTCAACACCCAATAATATGACTCAATTTCGGATGCACCTTGCATTTTAAAATCAAGGGCAAAGGTCCAAATATGCCCTTATACTATACGAAATTGAGCACATTTGCCCTTCGTTAATACTTTAGCTCAAATATGCCCTTACCGTCACATAGTTGGTCCATATATGCCATTAGAGTTATACAGTTGGCCCATATATGCCCTTTTCGAAACGGAATTCACCTAAACTAATTAGCTCTTTCTTTAATTGTATTAAAGTGTATTACAAATACTATTTCCTTTTTATTAGTACTTTTTTTCTTTACCTTTCTCTTTTCTTTCATCTTTTTTCTTTTCTTCTCTTTTTTTTTCCCTTTTTTTTTCTCCCTTATCCTATTTCCTCCATTACTGATGTCTTCTCCATTTTCACTTGACAAAACTCATAAATTCCAATTACTAAGAAAATTCTCCCATAAGAATATTTTTATATATCATATGTTTTTCAATTTTTACTGAACATATATTTAGTTCTAAAAAATTTAACAAAGTAAGATTGAAATAATATTTATGTAACAAAAAATCCGAAAATCCAACAAATTTCAGCAGGTGAAGCACACTGAGCTGAGTCATGTCCACTTAGTTGTATTTTGCATTAGATTGCTTTAAGTTTTGTATAAAAGGGCATTCTTATGCTACAGAAAATGCTTATACAGATTGCTACATTCTCTCACTGTGATCTCATATAACAACCTTTTTTGGATAAGGTTCTCATATTATTATCACCATTTTTTCGTTGTCGTTTAACTTTATTCATTGCAATCAGCCTCTTGTCATCAAGGCACTATAGTTTCATGTTTCTAGTGGATCATCCTATAAGTTTGGCCATGAAGATTCTTTTCGAGATTCAAATTCAAGCTATTGACTTATTTTATATGTATTAAAATTAGGGCAAAGGTCCAAATATGCCCTCATACTATACGAAATTGAGCACATTTGCCCTTCGTTAATACTTTAGCTCAAATATGCCCTTACCGTCACATAGTTGGTCCATATATGCCCTTAGAGTTACACAGTTGGCCCATATATGCCCTTTTCGAAATGGAATTCACCCAAACTAATTAGCTCTTTCTTTAATTGTATTAAAGTGTATTACAAATACTATTTCCTTTTTATTAGTACTTTTTTTCTTTACTTTTCTCTTTTCTTTCATCTTTTCCTTTCTCCCTTATCCGATTTCCTCCATTACTGATGTCTTCTCCATTTTCATCACCAATTTCACTTGACAAAACTCATAAATTCCAATTACTAAGAAAATGCTCCCATAAGGTAATCAAGTTCCAATTTCACTGGCCCTTTAAATTAATAAAATTAAATTATTTCAAAAATTATGGTTTAAAATTTAAAATAATAAAAATATCTCAACCTTTAACAATACTCAAAAGACCAAAATATTTAAATTATTTTTAGAAAGATAATTTAATGATTAAAAGTCTAGAGTTCAAGTTGTAGTGTTATAAATTTGAGTTGTTAGTCTTTTTTTAGCTGGACATTTTCTATTTTTTTTATTAACTATATATGTAAATTAGGGGTGTACATGGAACGGGTTGGTTCGATTTTTTATCAAAATCAAATCAAACCAATTATATCGGTTTGGATTGTACGGTTTTGTTGGATTTTCGGATTTTTTGTTACATAAATATTATTTCAATCTTACTTTGTTAAATTTTTTAAAACTAAATATATATTCAGTAAAAATTAAAAAATTGAAAAGCATATGATATATAAAAATATTCTTATGGGAGAATTTTCTTAGTAATTGAAATTTATGAGATTTGTCAAGTGAAAATGGAGAAGACATCAGTAATGGAGGAAATAGGATAAGGGAGAAAAAGAAAAGAGAAAGGTAAAGAAAAATAAGTACTAATAAAAAGGAAATAGTGTTTGTAATACACTTTAATACAATTAACGAAAGAGCTAATTAGTTTGGGTGGATTCCGTTTCGAAAAGGGCATATATGGGNCAGTAAAAATTAAAAAATTGAAAAGCATATGATATATAAAAATATTCTTATGGGAGAATTTTCTTAGTAATTGAAATTTATGAGATTTGTCAAGTGAAATTGGTGATGAAAATAGAGAAGATATCAGTAATGGAGGAAATCGGATAAGGGAAAAAGAAAAAGGAAAAAAAAAGTGAAGAAAAGAAAAAAGATGAAAGAAAAGAGAAAGGTAAAGAAAAAAAAGTACTAATAAAAAGAAAATAGTGTTTGTAATACACTTTAATACAATTAACGAAAGAGCTAGTTAGTTTGGGTGGATTCCGTTTCGAAAAGGGCATATATGGGCTTACTGTGTAACTCTAAGGGCATATATGGACCAACTATGTGACGGTAAGGGCATATTTGAGCTAAACTATTAACGAAGGGCAAATGTGCTCAATTTCGTATAGTATGAGGGCATATTTGGACCTTTTCCGTAAAATCAAAAACTGACACCCCCAATATAATGTTATAAAAATCCTACATGTACACCCCTTATGAGGTTTATCTGTGATTAAGTATATTAAAATATAAGTATTTATTAAAGATAATTAAAAATTACAAAAGAAATAATTTATGTATTTATTTTAATTTTGTAAATGTAAAAAAGAGGATGAATATTAACATAGTAGTTTAAAAATTAGTTTAGCATACAAAATTATCATATCAAAATTTTAAAGCTGAATCCTTTTATCTAGATTCTTGAAATTTATGAAAGTGTATAAACATAAATAGGTGTATTTTCATTTTGTGGGTGTCATATACATAGGACAAATGAAGCGAACCGCTGAAATGCTAACTCACGTCCATTTGAAAATACTCGTATCTCATGTCACACTTTCAATGAAAACATAATATCATAACTCACAAAATCAATACATACAATATAAACAATATAATTTATGTACTATTATTAATTTGTTGGAGGAAAAAAAAGATAGAAAAATATACTTTTTTAGTATTACAAAAATTATATGCTTAAGAATACTTCAAGAACCCCAGCTCAACTCCCAAAATAGAAAGTAGAAAGTTCCTCCAAAGTTATTCTAGTGCACCTTTTGCCTCCATTCTTGGTCAAGATGATTGTCAAAGGTTGACAAAAATGACATAATTTCAAATCTCTAATTTCATACTTTAAAATGACTTTAGATAAATCAATTAAAATTAGTTAAGCAATTCGAAGACCACGACATGAAACATTTATTCTTAATTTGTCTGACAAAATTTACTTGCCGAATATAATTTTCTTCAGTTAATTTTTTTTATAGAATACT